TGAAGTATTACCGTTCATCACGTACACCTTCAACACGGCGAAACATAAAACGACAGGCTACAGCCCTTTCTATCTGCTTTAAGCTCACTTACCTCGACATTCGTGGAACTATCTTTCCTTTGTCATCCATGACGATTTCACAATTGCGGAAACTTTGTATCATGCAGAAGAGGCACGTCGACTTGCATGCTTACGAAACTGGCAGCACAAGAGTCCTCCAAAACTCGCTACAGAATCAAACCGGCATGTAACCTATGCCCCGGTGATCTAGTGTGGGAGTGGACCCCAATACGCAGACGTGGCTTGAGCCAAAAGCTATCGGCACACACCGGTCCGTTCGTGATACTCAGATCGTCTCAGTGAGGTCAACTATGAAATTGCACGTGTCACCACTAGTGGCCAACGTCATGCAAGACAGAGGTGATGCATGTTGCCCACTTGATGTCGTTACATGAAGGATACAGGATGACTCGCCTAGAGGGCTTCGTCTGAGAGTGAAGGAATGATACGAAGTGTCACTATCAGGAAAAACAAGGGAAGCGTGGGTAGAGAAGGAAGACGACGTTGCTTCTTTGGTAATCGCGGTCTCTCTCTCCTGTGATGGCTGGTCAACCTTCGTGACCCGTCCGGCCGCCTCACACGATGGACATTCATTTACAAGAATATGTCTTCTCCATTTCATACAAGACTGACCTTGCACACGTTGATGCGGATTGCCTCTCAGGATGCCGCTACCGACGACAGATTGTGAAGCCGATAACTTCGACCACCTTATCGCTTTTTCTGTCGTCGGCTTTCCTGATGCCGTGACTTTCGCGGCTGAGCAGTGTCTGGCTTTTACCCAAGCTTGAAAGCTCTCTTCCCTGGAGCAAAAAGTCAATAAGTGAAGGCCTATTCTGCGTCCGAAATGGTCCTCTTTACCAGAGAAACTTGTTCACGATGTGCGCCCGCTTTCTGCTGGTTGTTCCTGTGTCCCTTCAATCTTTTCTGCGTCTCGCGCATGACGACTTGACCTCTGGCAATCTAAGAACCGCAGAATAGTTAGCCCATGAAATAGCGGTTTTATTGGCCGAAAATGAGCAAGACAATTCAAATTATGTGGCCAGCTGTACGCAGTGTCAGGGTCTCAAGCGGCCCACCTCAGGTCCAGTCGGTCACCTGCAGCTTGTAAAGCCCCCCGGTGCCCCTTTTGAAAAGGTCAGCATGATCTGATGGGACCATTTTCATGCTCCTCAAAGAAAAGGTAATCGCTGGTATGTGCTGACTACCTGACGCGGTACTACAAGATGGCTGCCTTATTCTCCGCCACGGCAGTCCGGGTTTTGGAGTTCCTGTTGCATTCAGTCATCTTTCGACAGGGCCACTTCGCGTGATAATAAGTGGCCGTGGTCGACAATTTACTACTGATATTGTGGATTCATTACTTTGTTTGTGTGCCTCCAAGTTCTGACACTCAATTGGGCATCACCCACAAAGTAATGGCCTGACGAGCGCACAAACTGAACGTTCACCAACATGTTGTCAATGTACGTTGCCTTCGACCGTAAGAACTGGGATGAAGTATTACCGTTCATCACGTACACCTTCAACACGGCGAAACATAAAACGACAGGCTACAGCCCTTTCTATCTGCTTTAAGCTCACTTACCTCGACATTCGTGGAACTATCTTTCCTTTGTCATCCATGACGATTTCACAATTGCGGAAACTTTGTATCATGCAGAAGAGGCACGTCGACTTGCATGCTTACGAAACTGGCAGCACAAGAGTCCTCCAAAACTCGCTACAGAATCAAACCGGCATGTAACCTATGCCCCGGTGATCTAGTGTGGGAGTGGACCCCAATACGCAGACGTGGCTTGAGCCAAAAGCTATCGGCACACACCGGTCCGTTCGTGATACTCAGATCGTCTCAGTGAGGTCAACTATGAAATTGCACGTGTCACCACTAGTGGCCAACGTCATGCAAGACAGAGGTGATGCATGTTGCCCACTTGATGTCGTTACATGAAGGATACAGGATGACTCGCCTAGAGGGCTTCGTCTGAGAGTGAAGGAATGATACGAAGTGTCACTATCAGGAAAAACAAGGGAAGCGTGGGTAGAGAAGGAAGACGACGTTGCTTCTTTGGTAATCGCGGTCTCTCTCTCTCTCTCTGTGTGTGTGTGTGTGTGTGTGTGTGCGTGTGTGCGTGTGTGTGTGTGTGTGTGTGTGTGTGTGTGTGTGTGTGTTTCATCAGCATGAATATTTCTTAAAACAAAATTCAATTTTTTGGTTGGCACAGATCATGGCACAGAGATTTGTAAGACACAGATCACAGTTATCACAGCATGGGTCTTAGCATAGAAAGGAGTTAAACATCAGTGTTGAATACCGTATCAGTGAGAACGATATATGCAAACACAGAACTTGCACCTGTTGTGATTCTTGCAAATATATGTAGCGAAAGCATGTGAGAGAGGGTTCTGATCTCTCTCGTCAAGATTCCGGCCTATTAAAACACCAACCTCATAATCATGATAGCAGATTGACAACATACTCGCTTTGGTGACGCTGCAATTTTAAGCAAAAACACTTTGCAAGGATCAGTTAGTATCTCATATAATCTTGGGCTGGATTCTTTTGTAGTTTTCCAATCAGCACTGATTGCCTCTGAAATGTTTGCTTTTTAAAATGTGGACCATTTGATTTGTTATTTGAAATTTGCCAATATTCACACCGTTTATGCGTGAAAATTTCTGTCTTCTCGGTAGCTTGTATGTTTTGCTTACCAGTTGTGCTCCTATTTTCGCCGCTTCAGCCGGAATTTCGATGATATTGCGCGGCCTCTCACCGAGCTTCTTAAAAAGACGTCCCATTGCTTGGAATTCGCCTCAAAGTGCTGCATTTCGGCGCTCATTGCAGCCCTCACGACTACGCCAATATTAGCCCACTTCGATCAGACTGCCCCGACAGAAGTTTGTACTGACGCGAGTGGCCACGGAATTGGTGCTGTTTAGCTCAGCGCCAGCATGGACGTGACTGCGTCATCGCCTACGCCAGCGACTTTTATCCCCTGCCGAGAGTAACTATTCCATCACCGAAAGAGAGTGTCTTTCGTTTGGGCTGTCGCTAAATTTCGCCCGTACCTGTTCGGTCGCAGTTTTACTGTTGTAACTGATCATCATGCACTCTGCTGGCTTTCCTCGCTCAAGGATACCACGAGACGTCTCGGTCGTTGGTCTCTCCGCCTCCAAGAATAACCTTCTCGGTCGTATAAATCTGGTCGCCTCCATCAAGACGCCGACTGCCTGTCACGGTATCCAGTGGATCCGTCAGACGCCACAGAGAGAGCTTCTGAGGCTTGCATCTTATCAATATCAGACTTTCTTGATATTGCTTGTGAGCAACGCCGCGACCTGGATTTACTTCTTATATCAAAAAAGCCTGAGTTCCGCTACTCCACCCACTTCTCTGAACTTGTATTTCCTTCATGAAGGTGTTCTCTACCGCCACAACATGCGCCCTAATAGTCCTGACCGCCTTCTTGTCGTGCTTTCCCATTTGCATGTAGATGTTCTCCGACAGCTTCACGATGAACCTGGCGCTGGTCACCTGGGAGTCACCCGCACTTATGATCGCGTCCGGCGCCGTTTTTTCTGGCCACGCCTATATCGCTCTGTGCAAAAGTATGTCGCCAGCTGTGACCTTTGTCAACGTCGAAAACGACCAACATCGCTTCCACCGGGCCTTCTTCACCCTATTGAGATCCCTGCTGAACCATTCTACCGCGTAGGGCTCGACCTTCTCGGGCCGTTTCCCACTCGGCATCCGGGAACAAATGGGTTGCCATGGCGACTGACTACGCGACACGTTACGCGATTATCCGCCCTCTTCCAACCAGCTGCGCTACCGATGTCACCAACTTTCTACTGCGTGACATCATATTGCATCACGGCGCTCCTCACAGCTCGTTACTGACTAAGGCCGATACTTTTTATCTCGCGTCGTCCAGGATATCGTACGTTCCTGTTCCACAAACCACAAGTTCACAACGGCATACCATTCACAAAACTAATGGACTTACAGAGCGCCTGAATCGCACTATCACTGACATGTGTCAATGTATGTTTCTCCAGACCACTGTGACTGGGACGCAACGTTACCCTATGTAACCTTCGCTTACAACTCCTCCAGACATGACACCGCAGGCTATTCCCCGTTCTACCTTCTTTATGGACGTGAACCTCTCTGCCTCTTGATACACTGCTTCCCGCTGGTTCAAGCTCCCCTGTCACATACGTCCGCGATGCCATAGAGCAAGCCGATGCAGCATAACAGATTGCCCGAGAAGGACTCATACTTTCTCAGCCTCTCAGAAAGATCGATACGATCGTCACCACCGTGAAGTTTCGTATGCACCAGATTCTCTAGTACTCTTGTGGACCAATGTCGTTACATCGGGTCTCAAAAGCTTTATTTCGCTATGACGAACCATACAAAGTCCTACGCAAGATCACCAACCTCACCTACGAGATACAGCGAGTCGTCGATGAAGCGCACTCAATGCCACCACTATCTACTGTTGTGCACGTCATAAGACTGAAGCCTTATGTGTCACCCAACACTCCCCTTTCGTGACAAGCGCAGGTCGGCGCTTTAACGCCGCGGGGTAGTGCCACAAGGCAGCAGTGGGATTGGGGCATAAAGCGGTAGAGGGTCTCGGCCTGGAAGAAAAGACTACGAAGTGGATAGAGACTGGTCCCAGCCCGCCAGTGTGCCAGGCATTGTCGTCGCATGTAAACGTCGTAAATATCTGCAAAATATGTTTCCTCGTAAGATAATGCAAATTATTTTTATGAAATTAGTAGCTTAGGAGTACTTTGGTGTTTATTTAAGCCATACTTTCTAGTCTTTGTGTTTGAGGGGCTGTTGAGACACATAAAAGCAGCATAGTTGCACGTATGTTTCGCTCTCAGTGTAAGAATGGGGCATACATTCGAAAATATTCCTTACAGGCAACTTTAGAAGGGGACCAAGCTGAGGCGAATAAAAGTCCAGTTTCTTCTCTCTCAGTTTACACTCGGCCATTGAATGCGATGACTACGACAGGACTCGCCCAAGACCTTGTGGCTGTGGAGAAGATGACTGCTGGTGTGAGTTTGAAATAATGTTAATCTCATCACAACTAGCATCACATGTAAGTTTAGCAAACCATGTGACAAAAAGTACAGCTTGCTAAAGTTAAACAAGTGGTTCTGGCACCTGTCCATGCTGACGTTTAAGAAAATCACTGCTGGAGTGAGTTGACAACAAAATTTATCTTATGATAACTAGCATTATATGTAAGTTTAGGAAACGTTATGACAAAAAGTATAGCTTGTTAAAATGTAACGTCTGGTTCTGGCTCCGTCAATACAGGCATTTAATTTGACCACAAGCTGCTTGAATATACATAAGGATGGGATATGTTTTTTAAAATGATATTAATTATAATTGACTGGCATTTACTTTAAATATGACCAAAAGCAGGTCAGCAGTCTGTGATCTTGTTGGGAGATATGTTTTCAGTGCTGTTGTCTGTACAAATAGTGCTTATGTTACGGTCCCAATTGGGGCACCTTGCACACAACATAAGACTGTAATGCAAAAACAAAGGGGAAAAACACAGAAAAGGGCATGCCAAGCAATGCTTTTTCTTCAAATTATAAGTTGTCTTGACAAGATGATAAGTGTACGTATGAGTAGCACATTTTATGCCTTGTGGTGGTCTCCAATTGCAGGGCTTCGCCTGATTACACATGTGCTACAGAGTACTGCCTTTAAATCGATTAATAGCATAGAATGACGGCAGAAGTCGTATTTATTCCTTTACTGACAGCTTGTGCACAATGTGTTTATGAATGAATAAAGGGAAGCCATCTATTGTTAGGGTGTCAAATGATTTCAGTAGTGAACTTTTAGAGCATTGCTGGGCTTTGGTTTCACCAGAAAATACAAGGCAAGGCAAAGCAACTAGCATATGCACATTGCTAGTGGTGAGCAGCGCACTTCAAGGAGTTAATATACCAGATTGTTTCAGGCTACAAACATGAAGGTACAGTAGAGCAGAGGAGGGTCTTCTAAAGCATCTATACGCTTGAAATTGCTTAATCTGGATTTGGCTACTATTCGCTTGTCAAGTGTACGCAGGACAAAGCTGTTTCAGACCAAGTACTTGCTTAGCTCAGCCAGACTATAGGGCATGAGCAAAAGCTCTGCACAGTTGTACGTCACTGCTTCCGTTATGTGTTGCAGATACTGTGATCACCAAAGTACGCTGCCAGTGCCAGGTTCTACAGCACCATATGCTGTGGCCTCAGCATCCTAGAAGTGCTTGTCAAAATTGAATTTCGCACTTACAAGATTTTGGCAAAGGCATGAGAATTTAACATATGACAATTCGTTACTGGTATGGAGAATTTATAGGCAATGAACATAAAAAACATCACCACAGAAATGTGTTATGCAGAATTGTACGAGTGAAATTTCATTGTGCTATTCTTACTAAATTCAGTACTTTTGTTGATTGTGGAAGGCCGATTTAGATTTCTAATTCAGTTTATACAAAGGATTTTTTGGAACTAAATATTAAAGTATAAATTAGTGGTTCCCTAATGCAGGAGAGCACCGTGATAGAGATGCTGCCTTCGGGTGACTTGATGACCTCAGAGCTCCAGGTGCAGGTTGATGAAAAAGGAGTTGAGTTTATTGTTGCCAATACTGCTGAGCTAAAGGAAATACCACGACCTGCTGTACAAGCTGTAGCAACAAGTGTCACCCGGGGCAAGCGGCGAAACCAGATGGCCTCGGAAACCGCTTCCCAGAAAGGGGTGAGTAACTACTGCACTTGTGACCATAGTTAACTGAATTGCCAGTTTGAATGCAACTGTAGCCTTTCTTTTTTGTGTGTGTGTGTGTTCGTTGTGTGTTTATATGCCTACGTGCACACACATGCACACATGTACTTACGTGTGGCAGTGCTCACTGAAGCTAGTCAGCCAATCAACAAACTTCATTGAAGTCCTATGGAACTACTAAATCGTAGTTGCGCGCTGCGTACCTGTTGGCACAAGAAGACCATGGTCCTATGCCCGTTCACGGGCCCTTGGACCATCCTTAGTTGGTCCTAGGAATCACCACTTTTAAGGGCTTCCTCCCAATCCTCTTGTTTTTTGAAAGAGGTGTTTTGTAACACAGAACATTGGCAGAGCATGTTCTAGCAGGCAGTATTGTTCATTGCACTCAGTAAAGTGTGGGCTGATGTCCAGAGCAAAATGGTTAAACTTTCCTCTTGACTGGAAAGATCCCATTTGTTACATGTATAATCTGCTCAGATAATCCCCAGAGTCAATCAGTCAGGATTCCAGGTCTGATACTGAATGCTATGGGACGCAACAATGAAACTGTTGCCCGTGTCAAGGCAAAGACTGAAAACATGCTCCATTTAATCACAAGAGTCTCACTGAATTGTTTCCAAACACACAGACTCCTGGTCCTGAAAAAATTTGTAGGGTATCTGTGGGTACTGCTGGAAGCATCTGGGTGAGACAGATTTTGATTACCTGCACAGGGAACACCAGGTACTCTTATTGAAGAGTTGCGCAGAAAAATGAGCATGCCTTAATGTGTTGGTTTTAGGCTTCATACATGTTACCGTAATTACTCGAATCTAACGCGCACCTTTTTTCCGGTTAAGCGAGTTCATAAATCGCATGTGCGTTAGAATCGAGTACGAACAAAAAAAATACGGTACGTGCGTCGGCATTATATCGGCATGGCGCGTCGGCCATTTCTGCCTATGGGTTTCCCATGTGCGGCACTTCGTACGTGTGCTGAGGAGTTCGTCATCTAGTAGTGCATTAGCATCGACGGCGTGGAAGGGCAGACTCCAAAAACTCGAGTGCACCACGATGCCGCTTTTAAAAGAAAAGTCATCGCGTGTGCAGAAACAGACGGAAATCGGGCCGCATCGCGGTCGTTCGGAGTTCCCGAAACGTGCGTGCGGGACCGGCGGAAACAAAAGCAGAAGATTGTCGACAGCAAAGCTTCACGCAAAGGCTTCAGTGGACCACAGCAGGGTCGGTTTCTGCAAATTGAAGAGCTGCTCGCCGAGTATGTGCTTGAGCAGCGAGCGGCACAGCGGCCCGTGACGACAGAACTGCTTCAAGTGCGAGCTATGCAGTTAGCCTTAGAAAAAGGGCTAATGCGGAGCCAGTTTAAAGCGGGCAGGTGCTGGCTAACTAACTTTATGAAGAGGAAAGGCTTTTCCCTTCGAAGGCGAATGGGCATATGCGAAAAGTTTTTCGGAGGAGTACGATGAAAAGCTTCACAGTTTTCAGAGGTTCGTCCTAAACTTGCGGCGCAACAACGGCTACCTCCTTGGGCAAATCGGAAGGCCGATCAGACGCCTCTTTACTTCGACATGCCTGGCACCACAACCGTCAAGAAGAAGGAGGCGAAGCAAGTTCGTGTGCTGACATCGGTCCACGGTAAAACTACAGTGACGGCAATGCTCTGTTACATGTCAAATGGGCACAAGCTTCGCCCGTACCTCATATTTAAATGGAAGACGCTCCCGAAAAGAGTAGTTTTTTCGAGTGGTGTGATCGTGCGGACCAGCGAGGAAAATGGATGCGCGTTGCAATCGATGTCTTACGTTTTTTTTTTTTTTTTTTTTTTTTTTCGCGGTGGAAATCGGGTGCGCGTTAGAATCGAGGGCGCGGTAGAATCGAGTAAATACGGTATTCTTTAACATTGCGGGCCACACTATGAAATCTTTGACAAAGTTTCAAAGACATAGTCGTCCAAAGCTTCTCTTAGGCAGTTGGAGTAAGAGAAGCTGGTCATTCATTGGCTCACAAAGATCCCACTCAAAGGCTTTAACAGTGCGGTGGTCTAGTGGCTAAGGTACTCGGCTGCTGACCCGCAGGGCGCGGGTTCGAATCCCGGCTGCGGTGGCTGCATTCCGATGGACGGGGAAATGTTGTAGGCTCGTGTGCTCAGATTTGGGTGCACGTTAAAGAACCCCAGGTGGTCTAAATTTCCGGAGCCCTCCACTACGGCGTCTCTCATAATCATATAGTGGTTTTGGGACGTTAAACCCCACATATCAGTCAATCAAATCATCAATCAAAGGCTTTAACAGTGGCAGATATGCAAGAAAAAAAATTGAAGGACACTTTGTAAATTCCAAGTGTGTTCAGAAAAAGCCTGTGCCTGATGAAGAAGTGTTACTACGCATGTCGCGGGGCCATCACGGGATTGCTGAGAAAGTGTTACGGGAGAGGCCTCAGCTAGCACTGTTCCAGGGCACAGATGGAGGGTCGGGCATTGCAAGTATGAGCCATTAAAGGCTTCTTCCTAAAAAAGTTTGAAAGTATTAATGTCCACCATACATGTACATGAAGGAGTAACTGTAAAAATCGAGCTGTACGTTTAGTTATTCACGTTGGGGGCAGCTGAGGATCCTGATGTTACATTATGAGGACTGCTTACTTTCCACCTTTACCCTCGGATAGCTGAGGATCAAAGGCACGCCATTATGAGAAGCATATTGTTTGCTCGCACTTTCATTTTTGCACCTATTGCAAAGGTTTTCCTTCTGATTCGGCCAGTAAGGTGGGGGAAGGGGGGGAGCTTTGGTAAACTTGGCTCCCCCTTCAGTGGAGAAACCTTGCAAACACCTATGCACCATTAGAATTTGCGTTTTTCAGGGCTCCCTAATATGCCAAGTTTTGCACATGTGACTAAATACTAAATTTAGCATTATTTTATATGATGCTCGTTGAAGGTTTCAGACAGTAGTGGTTTAGAACTTGTTGCTGGGACTTGTTTGTAACGTAACTTTGAGGCAAAATTTTATATGCCTGAGCCACGGCTGCTCGATCTCCCCCATTGGAGCAGCCCGTCGAAGGCTCCTCCCCGCCTGTGAGAGCGCTAGCACAGTGGCTAGAATAGGGAAGTGTGATGAACGCGCTGGCTAGGCGCGTAGTGCGTTGGAGGAAACCGCCAGGTGGCGCTGGCACACATTTGCACGTCACTCAAGGCGGCGATGCGCTGCGCAGAGACGGGAATCAACCACGCGTGCGGGCATTGTGGAACATTTAAAATATATTTTGTTGCTCGTGCATGGCCTCAAATGGCGACCGAGAAAATATGTTAATTAGCTTCTGGAATTACAGGATGCCTACACAGGTGTGCGATTGAACTAAAGCATCGACCGGGTGCCGGAAGTGAGCACGTGACGGCACTGAAACATTTTATCGATGTGAAGTGGTAGAAGAGTGAAACGATGAACTCCGTTATGAGCCGTTGCTTGCAACACCTTCCACGGCGAAGCATCATTTCCTCAAGCACTAATCTGTAAATAAAGACCCATCATTCATAACGTCAACCCCAGAGATGAGAATCCACGAGCGGTATATGGATGAAAACCTCTTATTTTCTGCACACTGGTCATACAACGCATTTCCGAGTAGTGACTCACTATCTGTTCACAACAATGCATTCTTAATAATTGGTCACACACTTTTTTTTTTTATCGCCAAGAAAAAATAGTTTTATAGTTCACAAGCGTCCCACAAAAAATTGTTTCCCTTGGGCTGCAAACCTAGGTGACGCGCCTGAGCTTCAGATACTTCCTCTTTTCACAGGAAGATGCTCGCTCATTGTGGAGTGCCTTTGTGTAAAAACGCAAATAGGTGAGCTGAAAAAAAACTTGGTCATTTGATTGGTGAGGCTCGGACCATGTTTTGCGCAGCCTGTGCAAAACATGGTCCGAGCCTCAACAATGAAATATTTATTTATTTATTATTTATTCAATACTGTGGGCCTTTTCAGGCCTATACAGGAGAGGGCGTACAGAGCAAACAATGCTTCATTTCGAAAGATGAAAAGGAAAGAAAATAACGATATAACAGTATGAAGCAATAAATGAACAATGCACATGTTTTCACCGAAAAAAACTACCCAGCATGATAACATCAACGGTAAACACTGACACGCAGATGCAGGCGGCCAAGCACATGCAGCAATGTGGGAGCACATGCGCAATACACTGTTTTAACCTTTATTTCGGCGAAGACAGCACAGGAATCTATGCAATGCCTCCAAATGAATTTCCAACAGCGATGAAAATGACTCAGGTGATTGCGCGCTGACGTCATTTGGCAAGTCATTCCACATCTCTATAGCTGCGGGAAAAAAAGAATACCTCAACGTGTTACAACGTGACAGGAAAGGGCGCATGCATTTGTCATTGTTAGTTCTACTGGAGTGACGGTGCGGAACTTTAAGGTAATCATCCTTATTTAATTTACCAGGTTGTTTGAAAGAAGAAAAAGAAATTTCAGGCTGGCTAATTTTCGGCGGCTAGCAAGAGTTGCGACACGTGCTTGCAAACGCAGCTCGGAAACACTCTCCCGCCTGGCATACTTTGAAAAAATAAACCTAAGAGCCCGGTTTTGAATCTTTTCCAATGTATCAATCATGTTCTTTTTGTGCGGGTTCCAAACTGTAGCTGCATATTCCAGGATGGGTCTAATGAGCGTCTTGTACGCTGTTAGTTTAACTTGAGGGGAAGTTCCAGTTAGTTTACGGCTTAAAAAACCTAGTTGTTTAAATGCACGTACAGAAATTTGATTAATGTGACATCCCACTTAACGATGATGTTATTGTGACCCCCAGGTACTTTACGGTATTACGTGCTGATGTCTGCCCCAGAGAAGTGTACTGAAAGTGAAGTGGTGTCTTTCTATGGGAAATTGTAATGCACATGGTTTTGTCAGTATTAATTTGCATACCATGTTTTTCACACCATTGCCCAATATTT